GTTTGTTTGTGTGTGTGTGCGTGTGTTTGTTTGTGTGTGTGTGTTTGTTTGTGTGTGTGTGTCTGAACGCGTATATGTTATCTTGCCTGACGAGAGCGGTGGATCTCCTCGTGAGTAATCTGTTCCTTTCGGCTGCCATGCTCACGTAGGGTGACCCAGTACTCCTTCTCCCTGTCATAGAGGTTCAACCTGAATTGGCAAATAGCTCAAGGGAAGTATGGAAGCTGAGCTAGCTGTGCTCGTATGTTAAACAGACAAGTTGCCGAACGTGGGACTGCTCCATGCTGTCGCAATACTTGATCGCGTTTTCGACTCGCTTCCTTATTCAAGCCGGGCAAGACATGTATACAGCTTATATGCGTTCTATATAGGTTCAGGATTGCTTGCGGATGAGAACGATAAGTTGAGACTATCTTGGGGGAGAGCTGGCTCCACTTCAAATCATTGAGCATCTCGTCTTTCGTGTACCAGCCGTGGTCCACGACTACGGTGTATTTCTGCTTCTTGCTGATTATCACCTCCAGCTGGCTCACGAACTCTTCCTGTCCGAAGTTGCACTATCCAGGCTAGAGGCCCATTCTGGCATGCATGGCATGGATATATCAAGTCCAAGCCTTATTGAAGTTCAGGTTCAGGAGGAGATGCCCCATCTCATCCTTGTGCCCCGCCTCCCAATGCTGCCGCACGTAAGCTGGCACCTCCAAGTCTTTACGTTTCGCGTGTGTCTTGACCATGCGAGAGATGCGAGCTTTCGAGGCAATCAGGAGGCGCTCCTGCCAATACATGCAGCAGGTTTCGAGCTTCAAAAGTCTGAACAAGGGGATTTGCAAACACAAGCAATCGTTTGAAAGGGTCCTGCCGGGTCGGTTCCCTTCGTAATCTCTTGGGCAAGAGAAGGCCGGTAGGCCCACTAGCACGCACAGGCGTAGGCAAGGGTCGCTTGGCCGGAGTAGCTGCAACCTCTGGCTTGACACCGAAGCTGCAGGAGAGCTGATCCTGGAGGGCGTCATCGCCCTCGCTGTTGACTTCAACCTCAGCCGCTGGGCTGATATGAACAAAATATAGATATGGCAGAGATATATACATGTTATATTATCGGTATAGATGCATTTATGTTTGTACATGTGCAAGCTAATGCGTGTATGTATGACCAGGCATAAAAATAGTACATAATATATCTATATATAAGAACATATCTATGTATATATATATATCAACATGTAATATGTGTATACATATACATATATAAATACTCATATGTGTGTATATATATATATGTGTGTGTATACATATGTGTATATATATACATACATACTAATACATTCACGGCCACCATGCACATATACACATCTACATACATCGGACTGAAGAAACCCGGTATCGACTGCAGATAAGTAACCGGCATGTAGATATCCTGAGCCGTAGCCTCCTCATCCTGTACCCCGGCCTCCAAGCCTGCCTCAATCAGCTCCTGGGTGGTAGCCTTATTGGTGCAAGGAAGTATTGTTTCTGCATTACGAAGGATATTGCATACAGAACAGCGAACATACTCTTAGGCACTCACGGGAAGTGTGTCTGCCACATCCACAGGTGATGCTGCAACAGCCGTAGAGGGATTGACTGCAGGAACAGCTGGAACGGGAGGGATGGCGACTTCGGGAACAGCTTGAACGGGGATGGCGACTTCAGGAACAGCTGGACCGGGGATGGGGCAAGGCACTTCACGAACAGGTTCAACAGGCTGAGCCATTTCTTCGGGAGCGGCTGGCTCTGCAGGCACCAGAGATGCCTCAGAAGTCATAGCGCTATAGTTCAAGGCTTTCATACATTGGATTTATGAAGTCACGACATACGGGCTGTGTAGCCAAGGCTCATTGCCTTCTGCTGCAAGCCGTTGGCGCCTTTGGAGCTCCTGCACTTCAAGTGAATCAGAATTAAAAGGTTCGGTGTTGATGTGTTTATTAATAATGCATATAAGATTTGTTATCTTAGGGTTTAGGGGTTTATATATATATAGGGGTTGTATCGGTTTGTCTATGTAGCACCTGAGTATGTTCTAGTATCGATACCAGGATCAACAATGGGTAGGAGGTTATGTTGGCACTTGAAAACACATCATGTAGTAGTCCGTCTGTGCTTCAAACAACAACACCCATATACACAGGACCCTCTCGCTCTTTTTCTCTCTCTCTCTCTCTCTGTCTCTTTCTCCCTCCGAACTACACTGTACATAACTGTGGCTGCCTCTATATACATATATATATATAGATAGATATAGATAGATAGATAGATAGATAGATAGATAGGTAGATAGATAGAAAGATAGATAGATAGTATCTATATATATAAATATATATATATATATAGTATCTATCTATATATATATATATATGTGCATACCTGGTTTCTGCATTACCTTGTCTATCTCTCCTTGAGTACATGGCTATATAATACTTATTTATTTATTAGCTGGCTAGTTAGGAAGCTAGCGAGCTAGTAGGTAGCTAGGTAGGCAGGTAGGTGGGTACGTAAGTATCGGTAGGTAGGTAGGTAGGTCGGTCGGTAGGTAAGTAGGTAGGCAGGTACGTAGGTAGGTGGGTAGGTGGGTATAAAGGCAAGTACATAAGCAGGATTGGAAGCAGGCAAGTAATATATGTGTGCGGGTATATATATATAAGGGCTGAGCTAGGTAACTTACTAATAACAACCCAGCTAGCTACGTATTCTTAGGACCCCACCTCGATCTCACGAAGAAGCGCTGCTTCCTCATCATCGTGCATCTCGGCCTTAGCCTCTGTCAAGACATGTCGGATTCCGTCATCCAAAGTAGAGCAGCTCCAGCGCTTCGATTGCACGGGGCCACCCACCATCGTGTCAGTATATCTATAACACGAAGAAGAAAGTCCTATATACAAGCGGCGAAGCAGCAGTCGAACACACTGTTGGGATTTGAGGCTCACGAAAATGCACACATATGATATGCATGCATGCGATCAGCAAAACCGAACACTTTCAGCCCTGGCACCAGGAACGGTTGCTCCGACTCGTCAATTAGCTGGACAATCTGCTGGCTCCGGGGCGCTATCGCAAGTGCTCTGGGTCCGCACATGTACAGAATAGGGGGAACCCGAAATACCCCATATTTTGATTACGGGTGATTACGGGGTACTCACGGGAAGAATATGGGTTACACACGCTTTGGGGAAAACCGGGTTTTTTGACAGATGGGTTGGGTTTGTGGGGTATTATGGGTTTTTTATGGGTTTCGCATGGGTTGATTATGGGTTATTGCGGGCTCTGGGCTGATACCCTAGTTTTTTGGTGCTATGTTCTATATTGGCACCCAGAAAAACCAGCCGATCGTCCCGCAGATTTCTGTACAAAGCAGAACAACGACACGGGCAATCCCGCAGCCGAGTTCTGCAGGCACCGGGAATCCCGCAGCACGACCCCAGGAAACGAAGCAGCAAGCCAATAATCCCACAAGCCATCGGCAACCCAATTCAGGAAGGCCCAAGACCAAACAAGCACAAAACCAACAATCCCCCAAGCCACCTGGAACCTCGGACCCCGCATTACTACGTACAAATAACAGAAGCCAGGGCTTTCAGTGGTCTTAAAAGTTCGACTTCGGCAGCTTGGATCAAGTATTGCATATAGAGTCCACTAAAGGATGCTTCGCTTGAAGAGGGGCTGCCGCTTCTGATTGCGAGGAGTCTTGGGACCATTGCTGATGAGCAAGACCTGAGAACACACACACACACTATCTATCTATCTATCTATCTATCTATATATATATATAATATACTCATGCACAGACCCTTTATGGAAACCCGAAACCACTTCCTCACACCACCAATTATTTCGGGGCCCGAAAGATATATGCACATCATATAGACAAGATATATACATATAAGTAGATCATACAGATGAATTCCAAAAGCCATCTCCAATGCCATATATATATAGTGAATTACGCACGAACCACCCTGCATACTACTCGGAGCCTTTCTAGGACAATAGAAACTCAACTAAACTAACCAAGTGAACGAAGACCCTGCTAAGGCTTCCCCGTAAACCCTCACGAAACTAAGTCCCAAGACCCCTTCTGCCGAGGATTCTGCATTCGTCAACTACGAGCCCAGCGGAGACTCGGCACGACTTGGGCTTTCCTGGCCTTCGGAAGAAGTACATAAAAAATAAGTGATATAAAACATATATATATATATATAATGAACATGTTGTGGAATAAGAAAGCATCTATATATAGTAGAGGCAGCAGCAGCAGCAGTGGAATAGTGTCGGATGCAAAGCCACCAGCTGAGTAGTGGTGGTATAGCATCCTCGTAAAATACATAAATAATAGCAGCAGCAGAAGCAGCAGTGTAGCACAAGCAGGGGCATATAGCAGTAGCGTTAGCATTGGCAGTATAGTAGTAGTGTAGTATAGTAGTAGTAGTAGTAGTAGTAGTAGTAGTAGTATAGTAGTAGTGGTGCTAGTAGCAGCAGCAGCAGCAGAAGACGACGACCCCAGCGAAGGGGGGATGGGGGGAGCCGCATCAAGTCCCGCTTAGCCCCAACCAAGCCCCAACGGCCCGCTTTCTGGAATCATGAACAGCGCGGTCTGCCATTCATGTTTGGGCACCTCTAAAACAGGCCTAGAAAATCCTGGGCCTTGGTTGCTGCACTGCGGGAGAGGGAGGGGATGATGCCCATGATGCTTGCTTTGATTTCGCCCCAAACCCGGCTGATGCTCATGATGCTCGATTCTGGTGGGGCTGGTTGCTTACGCTCTTCGATTTGTGGGCCTTTGGTGGGTTGTGATGTAAGTATATATAGTAGTAATAGTAGTAGTAGTAGTAGTAGTAGTAATAATAGTAGTAGAAGTAGTAGTGGTGGTAGTAGTAGTAGTAGTAGTATAGTAGTAGTAGTAGAGTAGTAGTA